TCATTAGTACAATATAAAAACAGATGATTTTGTTTGGTGAGATTTTCGTATGTTATCAAACTTGCTATTTTACATGACATATTATAGATGGGTACACCATAGCTGCCTTTTATTTTGCCCTAATTAGTCTTAAAGTTGAATTATATGGCTGATTTAGTCCTTTGCATATCTATTTATGTAGCAAAACACCCTCAAACTGAAAATTAAATAGTGGGGAAGTCTGTCAATAACATGTCTAGTTCATATTTTGCTCCCAAGCCAAAATAAATAAGAATTTATATTTTGCACAAAGAAAATAAAGCCTTTTTGTACAAATAGGGAATTGTTTTGTATGACAATTACACACATTTCATCACATTTAAATGAGACAAATATTAAAAATAAACATGTTTATATATTTAAACAATTTTATTCAATACTCAAACTACTTTTTATACTCAAAATATATCACGATAATTACTAAATGTACATACATTTTATATTATAATTCCAGTCATTAGTACAAAATGTTTTCTTTTGTCTGAAATGCATTCATAAACCTCTGAAAAACCAACTGTGGTTTGTCGTCTGAAAAACAACAGGCAATCATACATCCAGGATCAGATTTGCGCGACAAAACACATATACATTACATTTGTATTTAAAAAATCCAGCTCAGTTCCTGTTTTTCCATTCCATGTGGCCTGCACACTCTGTCTCCCTTGAAACATTATATTATATTTCAACACAGTAAGAACAAGACAGGTGAATGGTCTGGCAAGAGGGTGGAGCAACCAGAGGAAACACTGTGACATCTTTACTAAATACAAAATATTTAGTTTGATTACACATGATGGAACAGGCTCCTACAACGCTCCTCTACACTGGACGTCTACAGCCAGGTACAAGGCAAGAGATTCTGGGAAAGAAGCCCAGAGGTCAGCAGGTGGCGTCAATAATATTGCCTTCCATCTGGTGGCGATAAACTACTCGTGCTTTATGGGAAAAATAGACAGGACGTGTGGCGCTTTCCTCTCCGTCGTAACCCCAGGAGACTGTCGGAGAGAAGCCAGGTTGCACCTCAACAGATGGCACTGTGAATGCAGAGAGAGAGAGAGAGAGAGGAAATTAATGTCGGGTACTGAAAGATAGTTTGATTTATAATTTAATTATCAACATATCAGGACAAAATTGGGTAAACAAGGAGACTTACCAGGTGGAGGAGGGCACAGCCTGCTTTTACCCAGGTCTTTACAGCGTTTGTACCAAGGAAAACACTGCAAGACTTTCTTACCCATGGTTTACCCAATCTAGAGGACTGGAGAGAGAACATAAAGTGTAAGATCTACTGACTGATGAACGTGGACTTTCAGTGCCATTGTGTGTGTGTGTTTGTTTTCAAGCTTATCTCACTTCTCCGACCAGAACGTTAGCTGAGAGGTGAAGGCGGGAGATTGCTAATAATGGCTCAAAGAAACAAAGAGCTCATTCATCCTGAGAGGATTAATCCTGTCGTGTCTGAGGCTTGTAACGCTGCTGTATCACTTGAGCTGGACGCATAGCTGTGTTCCCTGCCCTACTTCGGAGTGCTGGGACAACCGACCGAGAACATCCAGCTCTGACTCCATAATCTGTCACAAAGTCAGTGTATATAAATCTTACCGCTAGATAACAACAGACCACTTCTGTTAAGTAAATAATGAGCAGCACCACCCGTGTATTTAGCAGAATGGGACAGTGATTTATTTTGTCATGTATAAATCATTAAAATGTTCTATATGTGACAAATGTATTGTATTTACAAAGAAATGACGTATAAATAAAAATAAAGTGTGCTGCAAATGTATTTCTGGTTTTGACAAATTTAGCAACCAGAGATAGAATATTTTTCAAAGATAAGTAAATTAAAATGAATACAAAATGTATTAAATTAAAATGAATGAATGAACAAATCAATATTCTTTATACTATTGGGAAGTTTACAATATTCTATTTATATTTACATTTATTTACTTATTTAGCAGACACCGCTATAAGCAAACAAATAAAGAATACTATTGGAAAATTGTTCAAAATTTAGAGTAAGTAATATTTTGAAATGGCACATTCTTTAAATGTTTGTTTGCACAACATCGAAACGTTTGATCTGGCTAACTGTAGAGGTAAAATTGTGAATAAATAAATATTGTAAATATATATATATTATATATAATAACTATAATTATTATTATTATTATTATTATAGCCAGGGGTTTACAGAAATGCAGGCTGTGGAAATTTTTTATAAATTAATTTAAATGAATGAATAGATAGATAGATATGTTTTATTTATTTATCCATTTATTTATTTAAATTTGCTATAGTTTAGAATTTTCTAAATAACATGCTTTAGTGCAGTGGCAATATAAAAACATATTTTTTCTTTGAATTTAGTTACTTTGTGTTGTAATATCAAACTTGCTATTTTTCTCAAATTATTGATGGGTGGGCTTTATTAACCAAAATACAAATACTACAAATCCTTCGCAAGAAGTTGATACTATTTTGGGATCATTTACATCGACAAACTTGCCAAGACCCCCTTCACTCCAGTGCTCACTGATCCCTTGATTGAGCAATAGATGCGAGAAAGAAGCTTTGTCGTTCTATGAAAAGTATCTTACATAAAACTCAACCGAAGGGAGGTTAATCCTTCATTTAAGAAAATCAGAATAGAGCGACTTGGCGCGCGCTGCACATGGAGACATCACAGATCAAATGAGTGCAAATCCAGACAAACATGAGCCCAGCAATCTGTGACAAACATTGTTTAGAGCCAACAAGTAGGCTAACAAAAATGTAATTCTAAATAATAAACTCTTACAATTCAGAGTAGATCTGCAATATAACTTATAGTTCAGGTAGCAGGAAATATAATACAAATGTGCACGTTAGAGTAGCAATATTATAGTGGTCATAAAAGAGTGAGTAGTAGCTATTTTGTCAAGATCACTAAACATTTATGCATGATGCATATATATTAAAAAGTTGTTTTGCCCAAACTATAACACATAATCTTTGCCTACGACACACGCCCATTTTAAACATTGTATTCGCCAACTTGTGTCAAACCTGTAGAGAAACGAAGTGGCGCCGCGTGTCTTATCCAGTGATCTGTTGGATCTGCTGCGTTTGAAACTCTGGCTCCATGAGTGTGTGCTCGTGCTGGCCCCTATAGAGATCGTGTTGTGGCAGTGATCAGGTCGCATTCCCGGTGGATACTGATGCTGTACTGACTCTGTCTGCCCCTCTGTTCCGTTACCTCGGTTGCGTAGGCTATTAAAGCTTTGATTGAGCGTGCGCGGAATGCCATGGGAAATTTCCACAGACTGAGGCTTTAAATAACTAATCCTGCAAGCCACAACAAAAGCTCCTGACCTCAGAAGTGGCTGAGTACATTTCAGGGGCGGAACTAGAAAATTATTTTCGGGTGGTAACACCAAAGCAAACAACATTCAATCATCTATACATAATCTAGGCTATATCATCTATACAACAACTAGGCCTATACTACACTCTTAAAAATAAAGGTGCTTTAAAAGGTTCTTCACAGCGATGCTATAGAAGAACCATTTTTGGTTCCACAAAGAACCATTCAGTCAAAGGTTCTTTAAAGAACCATCTCTTTCTTACCTTTTTATGATCTGGACAACCTTCTTTCGCCACAAATAACTTTTTTTTTTTTAAACAGAAAGGTTCTTCAGATGTTAAATGTTCTTTTTGGAACCATTTAAACAAAAAACTATGGCATCCTGAAGCACGGTGACCGTGATTTCACCAAGTACAACATGTTCCTGGATCAACATCCTTGTTGATCCTGGAACAACATTCCTATCAACCAATCAGAGTTGAGGGATAACTGTTCAGGACATATCTGTTTTAGGCTTACAATTGGTTAGGTGCTTCTACACCCTTGTTAATCAGCTATCATTTCACACTTTTTTTAGGAATAAATTATGGGTAGTGTTAGGTTTAGGGGTAGGGATTGGGTTAAGTCTATATTTTTGGACAGTTATGTTGATCCAGGATCAACAAAAGATGTTGATCCAGGAACATGTCTTACTTGGCAAAATCGCGGCGACCGTGAAGCACCTTTATTTTTAAGAGTGTATAATTAAAAACAAATGATGGCAGCACGCAGCAATCGTCGGGGTCCAAAAAAACAATGGTCCATGATTAGCGATCTAACAGAAATGAATCTGCGTTTTTTACAGGAAAGTCTAACTTGAATCATTACTGAAAGTTCGGGTTTGATGAAACTGGTTACAGCCAAAACACAGGGGTCAAAAATGGCAACTAACTTTCAAAAGAAATCACTCCCTCTTACTGTTTAAAGGAGAGGTCAAAATACTCCTCTAAAATGTTTACTGTCATAAGGCATGTGATCATAATATATTTGGTGTAAGTGTGAACATATATTCAACATTTAGACAAAAGCATGTCCATCCATTTCAAATGAATGTGAAGTTATCATTTGCAGCTCAAAACTTTATCTGAAGCATTTTTTCCTATAATTATGTGTAGCCATAACTTTATAGATATCTTATATTTAAATATATAATCTTGGGAAAGACAAATAAATTGTCTTTTCATTTTAAATGGATAGCAATATATTTCAAATTTCATCATGTCTGGCTACTTGAAAATATGTTTTATTGGGTCTATAAAAATTAAATAAGGATTTAAAGATCTATAAGAATTTTACAGATTTTAATGTACAAATGTACAAAAAAATGCGTACATTTATATTTTATACTGGGATAAATCTCGGGTGGCAGATGGTTTGGTAGATCCGCCCCTGGTACATTTTTTTTTCCTTCAGCAGAAGTTGTCTTAGCAGACCTTCTTAATAAATTGCACTCAATAAATGAATTAATCACGTTAATGGCAATTAAATCTACTGTAAGGGATTTTTTTGCCTGTAGCCTAGTGTCTGACAGATATCACTGATGTCTGAGAAATCAAACTACTCGCAGTTGATATTTCATACATTTGTGGTGGGAATGTTTTATTTAATTTATAAGTTGTAAGAGGTGTTTGTGCAGCAATAAGAACATTTTTTACAATGGCTTGATAGTTACTTATTCATGTTAAATACACAAAAAATCCCTACAATAGTAAAAATGCAAACACATGTTACAAAGGAACAACATTAAAATATCAATTTCATTTTTAAAAATAGTTCCCCACTTTTTCATCATCTTACAGACTTTATAGATGCCATATTGAATTTAACACATGAAACCAAGGCTGCGGGGATAGACTTAGGCTGATGATACACAGGGTAACTTTTTGGGCAATGTTGATGTTAACGGGCAACCAGGTGAGACACAGATAGTATCCAGATAGAAATGTATTGCCTATTCTCAATGGGAAAGTGCCCAAGCAACATTGCCCGGCAACATTGCTCAAAAAGTTACCCCATGCATCATAAGCCTTATAGTCTTTACAATGCCACAGACTGTATAAAGATCCTAGATCATGTAATTTTCACAACTCTCAAAACTTATGTCTACCGAAAAAGATGTTTTGTCAGCTGAAAAATCTTTATGCTGTTAAACAACAGTAAAATCCACTGAACGCACTGCACTTCAATCCCTCACAGCCTTGTTTTCATTCCTGTCAAAAATGAAATATGGTGTTACCCTGACTAAGGTCTATAGGTTGATCCAGTTAAAAATGACTGAAAAACATCCCAGCAAAAGCACAGCTAAAAAGAGTCTGACATTAATGAATTAAATGCACAATTTGTAAAAATTCAGTTGAACAAAACTGCTGAGATCATGGCACTGCTTGTATTGACATATTGGCACTATTTGGTTCTCTGTATGTGACCTATTGCTATGTCTAATCACATTATATTCACCAGGTTGGTTTTTGTAAGGTTTTTTAAACTGCTCAAACCCACACGCTACCCTTTCCCTCGCTCTCTCCTGCCCCCTGCTGGCCACAGCAGCCCCCCAGGCCTCCATGGCGTGATGCAGGCAGGTTCTTGTAGACAGCACGGCTGTAGGGGATGAAGCACAGGCCCAGCTGGAGGTGGCGTGCCATCCTGCAGTAAGCGGCCAGAGCCAGAACCAGGAGCGGAGCCAGCAGCAGGAACCCCACCACCAGTAAAGCCACACAGCCTCCATCATCCAAGAGATCTGAACAGTAGACTGAAGTACCGTGGTGCTGAACCTTTGGAGCAGACAGGGAGGAGTGCAAGAAAAGGGGTTAGTTAGGAAGATTTCACAAGAGAGGGAGGGGACTGAAAGCACTGTAAAATTGTGCCTGATATACTGTATATTGTCAGATCAGATAAGAGCACGATTACATTGACCAGCGATAAGAAAATTAATAAAAACATCCACATACGGTGAAGAAGTGTGAGTTGACTGAGGCAGCTCAGTTAGAGATGATTAACGTATCACTGTCACAGTGAAATGATAAAGAGAGGATTACATGACAGAGTTTATTTCCTCTGCTCACCCAGGTGTTTTGTGTTAGTTTGACTGAACTCTGGGAAGTTTAGTCATCATCAGTGCCGTGACACTAGAGCAATCTGAGCGGTCTTCATTTCTTTTGGAGGGAGAGAGATGAAATTTGGGGTGGATAATACGAAATGTATCATAAATATACACTACCTTTCAAATTTGGGGTCAGTACGATTTTTTAAGGGAATTAGCACTTCAAGGATTTATTAAATTGATCAAAAGTGAAAGTAAAGACATTCAATCCTGAAAAATGTATCACGGTTTCCAAAAAATGTTAAGCAGCAAATTAGCATATTAGAATGGGTTTTGAAGGATCACGTGACACTGAAGACGGCTTTACCATCACAGGAAGAAATCACATTTTAAAAATATATCAGAAATAGACAACAGTTCTTTTAAATTGTAATAATATTTCACAATATTACCGTTGTTCAAGTATTTTTTTATCAAATAAATGCAGACTAGGTCAGCACTTCTTTCAAAATCATTAAAAAATCTTACCGACCAGCGACCACAAACTTTTGAAGCGAACCTCAAATCTTTTTTTTTCCTTCTCACTTTTAATATACAAAAATTCAAGTAAATTTGGTCATTTTGGACTGGATATTAACCTTATATTAACGTTGTCTTATTTGTTACGTAACTTAGAAACCGCACTTACCGTTGAGTGGCAGAGGAAGCCAAACACGACCATGACGAGCGAAGGCAAGAGGATGAGGCCGAAGATAAACGCAGCCAGACCCACATTGAGCGCGGCGATGAGCAGATTCTGTGCTGTTACCAGAACAGAACAGGCCCAACAGTCCAGAGAGCCCCTCAGCTCCAGGGGAGACTCGTTCAGCGCACTGCCTGCTATCGAGTACGGAGGAGGAACCACCACACATGAGCTGGACACGTTTGCCGGAGTACTGGAGGAGATGGAGCCGGTGTGATGGAGGCGCGGGTGAGGGGTTTCGGGCTCCCCTCGGTCCGTGGCGGTCTGCAGGGACGCGGGTTTCTCCAAGGTACCATTACGGGAAATACTCATCTTGCCGTTCATCATGCTTTCAGGTATGAAAGTCTAGTTTTTGGCTGGCAAAAAAATAAATAAATTAATAAATAATCAAACTAGTGAATTGGCTTCTGTAAATTGGCCAAAATACAGCGATAAATAGCTTTTTAAGTCATGCTATCAGCAATAAAATGACCATTAAAGGAATATTCCAGGTTCAAAACAAGTTTAAGCTCAGTGGACAGTAGCTGTTTGTGAAATAATGTTGATTACGATCAAAGAAGGAAAAAGCAAAAGATTGAGACACATTAAAAGTAAATGGGGCACATTTTTGAATTTGAAGGATTTAAAAGTGAAGCTTAATTTTTTTGAAATCACTTACATTAATTCCTGTGTTAAAACTTGTGTATTATTTGAACTGTAAAGCTGTTGAACGTTTACGAAATTAGCTCAATTCACTTCTATTGTAAGTGCCTCAACTGGAACCCCAACTTTTGCTTTTTTTCGTTTTTTAGAAAAAGAGGGACAAGTGAAAAAGAATTGTTGTGTTCATCAGCGTTGTGCCACAAATGCTATTGATTGAGCTTAACTTGCATTCAAAAATAATATTCTTTTAAAAGAAAAACAATGGTTGGTGGAAACTGAAAAGTGTGGACTGTATTCCTCTAAAAAGGTCTGGTAAAATGTAGAGAAAGCAAACGGTGACAACTAACACTGAAGATCAGGAAATGAAGTCGCTGACCCCACCCCGATCTCCAGGATGACCAAAAAATACTAAACAATAACTTTGGAACAGCTCATCAGGAAACTCTGACTGCTGACCAGACCACAAATACTATAAAACAGCGGAACCCCAAAAGAGCAACATCCTAAAGAAACGGTCATAAATAGCCCTTTAACTGCTTGTTACAGATTCACAAGTGAATGCCAGGAAAATATTAATTATCCTCTGATTTATGCAGTTTAGTCCCTTTGATCAATAATACATATTGAGTATTATTGTATAGCATTGAGGACAGATGTTAGAGCACAGATCATCATGTTCTCTGTCAATCTAAACGTTTTAGATTGTGTCACATGCTTGCTTATTCTTTCTAGGAATAAGTCCTCTGCTTAATCTTGTTTATTTGGAGTGGGCTCAATTTTTAGTGAATGCAAGTATAATATCATGCTTCCATTAATAGTTCCGATGTTATCGAGATCTTGATTTAAAAACCTTTCCCATACAATCACCTTTTAAATTCTTAAAGGAGCAATTTGCTATGACCTTGAGGACGTTTTTAATGGCCTGTAAGTGACCGTAATTACAACATACTAATTTATTCTTTACACTTATATTTTTTTACATTTATTAGTTCTGCACATGGTATTATTCAAAGTGATGGTGGTAAAATTATTTGCATGTTTTATTTGATTATTTATTAATTTAGTTAAAATATTTAATTTTAGTTAAAGTTTTTAGGCTATATGCTTTCCTAAGTGTGAGTAGTGCAAACATTTGTACATTTGCCAAGATTAAATCACCACCATGACTAATCTTACATTCTGATTCAAGATACAGAATATCAGGAAATTCCACAAAATATCTAGAATATATAAAGGGGGTTTTGACAGGACATAGACAGTCTTTAGGGAATTAAGGTCAGTATATATGGCAGAAGACAGAACAGAGCACAAACTGATGAGATAAGTTCAAACAACTGTTTGTATTGAAACAATATCACTGGTGTATTGAAAACAATTTTTAGATTAAGAATATATTTAATCTGAATCCAAGGTACCAGGCCTTAATGCTTCATACTGAAAGACCTTTACAATCAATTTATCCAAAGCCTGAATGATTTAAAGGCCACAGTTTATATGTGCATATTTACATACATAAAAAAAATAAAATAAATCATACACTACTAGTCAAAAGTTTGGAATAATTAGGATTTAAAAAATATTTTTGAAAGAATCTCTTATTCTCACCAAGACTGCATTTATTTGATCACAAATACGGTATTGTGAAATATTACAATTTTAAATAACTGTTTTCCATTTTAAAATATTATAAAATGTAGTTTATTCCTGTGATGCAAAGCTGAATTTTCAGCATCATTACTCCAGTCTTCACTGTAACATGATCCTTCAGAAATCATTCTAATATGATTTTAAAAATCTAAAGAAAAATCAAATATTACTGACAAGGTTTTTTAGGGACGGCACGATATAAAGTAAAACCCTAAAAGACATTTACATCACGAAACTTATGCTATTTACATAAGTCCAAACACAATCTAAAAAATACAAATAAAAATCTAAAATCTTCTAGACTTACATTAGAGTAATAAAGTTGGTCGTCCGCTCCCTCAAACACCACCTTTCCTTCTGCAGAGAAATTTCCTTTACTTGTTGTATAATATTTGCTTTCCTCAATGAATCCTTCACTCTGGCTGAGATGATTATTTCAGTCTATTATATGTGTACGTCTCATTCATGTAGTTTTCATGTCCACTGGCTCTGTGTGAAACTGAACTCTGTGGAACGGTCATTCCTCTGTTTCAGCCCTTTCTCTTCCTCCTTTCCTGCTCCGCTCTTTCCTTCCTTTGACGAAGATTGCTAATATCTCTTCGCTCCCACTTCTCTTTCTGGCCTCCCGCTGCACTAGCTGGGGCATTTAGGATTGTGGGGTGTTGGGTAGTGGGGGCGTAGTGTTATCCAGGAGATTTTTTTTGCCCAATAAGATGGATGACCTCGACTCCCTTTGGAGCTACACACTCCACAAAAGAGTGTTTTGCACA